GGGGGGGGTAAATTCTTTTATTGTTTATAATTTTTATTATTATTTTTATTTTTTAGTTTATTGGGACAGCTGGCAGCTTGTAATATTCCTTACTCCTTGAGCACCTCATTCCCCTCTGCAGACTGGGATATTCTGCACGTGATGTTTTCAGTTCTCTCTTCAACTTCCCTTTTTCCTTCCACCCCTCGCCAGGCTTCCTCCCATCTGCCCTTCCTTCCCTGCCTGCTCCTTCTGCCTAGAGGGCAATTTCTGGCCTCCCTAAGCTCACTCTTCTGACTTCAAAGAGTAGCTCTAGTTGTGCTACCTTCTTGTGCAGGAGGTTGCATCCGTGAGTTTGTTACAGCATTGCTGAGATCTTATTCCCCCCTCTTCTTTCTGTTCTTCCTCTTCTTTCAAGAGCTTTTTCAGCAACTTTTGTGCAGTAACCTTGAAAGTATTTAACGACCATTGACTCCACTATATTACCTGTTCTAGAAGTATTTTATTTTAGTTATATGATACTTGAATTAGCATTATTATTACAGTTTTTAATTTTCTATCTGTAAGATTTCCTCCCCCACCAGTCCAATACATTTTGCAAAGATAAAAATAAATTAAAGGTGAAGAGTTATGGCCAAGGGCAAGAGCTTGCAAAGTTTAGCCTACAAGGTATTTCTTTCCCCATTGAAAACATAATCTTTATAAAGAAAGCGCCAGGTACCTAACTCATTATAAGCAGCTGAGAAAATGGGACAAAAGAATTCCTTCTTATACACTTAGTTTTTGGCTTGGTTTCACCCTCTGCCACCTAGCCAAAGGAATGAAGAAAATAGTAGTAAAGTCACCTAGTGCGCAGCACCAATTTGATTGAGGTTTCTTTGACCATACCTTAGATAGTACAGTGTGATGGCCAGTAACACCCAGGCACTCAGCTGCCACTCAATTTCAAGCAGAAAATATGAAGCAGTAGACGTGTAGACATTTGTATGATGCCACTATAGAAGACGTATTTTTGTCCTCAACATACTTATATTGTGGAACTCCTTCCCAGAGGATTTTACTGAGGTCAAACTGTAAATAGGTTTAAAAAGGATTAGACAGATTCATGGTGGGCAGGTGTGATGTTTGCTATTAAGCGTGACAGCCTGGATCTAACATCTGTTACAGAAAGCCACTGTAGAGACGATGGCTGGAAGGCTGCAACAGGGAAACTGCTGTTCTGCGCTGACCCTGGTTGGTGCTGCCAGTCCCTGCCAGGGGCAGTGGCTACAGCGACCAGGGGCTGATTCAAAACAGTGATCTTCAGTCTGGAGAAAGCCTTTGAATTCCCATGGATATGGCAGTTTGCCTTAATTGGTTATTCTCCACTAAGAGCTCATAGATCCCTGAATCTCCAGAGAGAAAACTGGGATTGCCTCCCTGAACTCAGTGCCATAGAAAGCACAGGGTTAGGCTTTGCTGGGGTTGTTTCAGTAGAGACAGTTTTGCTGAAGTGAGGGCTGAGGAGTATTGCAGTATTTGTTCCTGGACTTCTAAGTCCATATTCTGCCTTTCGTATAAACACAGATCCAAACTAATGTTTGACTGACTTAGAAACTGCTGAGCAGTAACACGTTATGTGTCACTTATATCCCATTTCTTTTATTTTAATGATTAACAGCCTCCTGTGCTGCAATTCATAATTCAGTCTTTTTCCTCCTTTCTTGAATCAGGGAGCGAAAACTGATCAGTGACAGAGATGATGCTTGTGAAATTGCTGCACAGGGGTTCCTCTCACTGAAGGGCTGACAAGATACCAGCTAAGGAGAAAGCTTAATTGCATGGGTGATCAAAGGAGAATGTACAAAGACAGGGAGACTGTAAGGGCGTGTGCGTAGGAGTGTGTTTTAGCAAGAGATTATAGGGGAACGTGTGAGTCTGGCACACACGAAATGACAGAAATGAATGCATGAGCTAGTACAAAATAGCATGCTAACCAAAGGCATCCACAGATCAGCTTCAGCCCCTTCTCAGCTCTTGCCTAAAAGAACTGTATTCTGTAAGCTGTCATCCTCCAAACTATATGAAGCGAAAAAAGGAAAGGTTTGTTTTTTGCAAGTGGGAAAGGAGGAGGAGGGGGGAACCTCATGAGACAACAACATCCAGGCTGAACTGGAAAAGAGAGATCAAAGCAATGAGCTGGAATGGAAAGAAAGGACACAGGACACTGACACAGTGTGCTCCTGGGAATGGTGGGAATTGAACTAAAAAATTGAAAACTGAAAAAGCACTGAAGGCACATGCCAGCCCTTTCATGTGCTGTAAAACACTGTACTGTCAGAGTTCTGGTTCACGATTTGTATCATGCTTTGTTGTATTGCTTACTGTCTTCCTTTATACTCAGTTCCACTTACATCACTGGGAGTATTTGAGGAGTAAGGTACCTCTAAATATGAAAACAGGTGCCATTAAAATGGCTTATACAGACTTGTACCATTTTAGCCCACATCCATTAAAAACCTCATTACAGTTAAATTGGCATAAACCTCTGTACCAGTGATCTTCAACTGATTTAAGCTGCATCAGTATAAATCCAGTTTCAACTGATTTAAGAGAGTCTAGGCAGAAATGCATTGCATTTCACAAACTGGTGGGAGGACAAACTCTTATTGAAATATTAAAACTTATGCACTTAGTCTTTTCCTATTCAGCTGTGGGGTTTTTGAACTTTTACCATTTTGCATTTTACAAGCCCTTACAGGGAGTGAAAACAAGTAGTTTTGGAGCAGACAGGTCAACAGCCTTTTGCTTCATCAACTGAACCTTTGTGCAACCACAGAAGCCTTCAGCTTTAGTGTTTTATAAGATTCTAAGGACAGAGGAGAAGCATAATATTTCTTCTACTTACCCTACTCTGAACTCAGTATTAGTGTCTGACTAAAGCATTTTTTTTTGCAAAAGGCATCTAGCCTTTAGTCGAATACACCTTTTTTTGTAAAAAAAATGAAAGACCATCATCTAAGATACCTACTCCCTACTCCAACAGTAAATGGTCCCGTCTTTAGGAACCAAATGCCTCATTCCTAATTTGAGTTTCTCTGGCCTTCACTCCCAACCCTCAATTCTTCTTGCATCTTTTTCTACTCAACTAAATAGCTTTGCAGTTCTAAGAAGTCCAGTTCAAGTTAATAGGCCTTGCCTAGACCTGCATATCTCAAATGTGGGTGACACTCAAGGTTACCAGTCCTCAGCATAAGTAGCCCTTTACTTCCCACAGGCAGGAGTGAGAGAAACATTTCTCAGTCTAGGAGCAAAGGTGGCACAGTTAGGATCTCTACAAACACAGATACAGCAGTATTTTAGCATTTCAGAACTCAAGGCACACTATACACACATATACATCCTGTAGGTTTCAGGTAAATTTGGCCCCACTCCCCGAAATCCTGACCAGCAATTCAGTGGATAACAGTAAATGCCGTCAAACTTTGGTGCCTGGCTACTTTCATTGCTCTTTCTCCCACCTTTCCAACCACCTCCCTCTAGTAAGGGCTGAAGGAGGAGGCAGAAAGGAAGCATTCAGCAAAACTGCTCTGTTCTCTGGCAGGAAGAAAAGAAGGATTTTCGAGTATGATTGCTCTTATCTCTTCTCACGTACAAGGTCCATATCTGCAGTCTGTATGTGCAAAAATTACCTTCTCCCCCACTATTTTCTCCCCTCCTCATGGATATGAAAAACAAAAAACGGTACTAGAAGAAAGGGAGGTTGCCCTGACCATTAAGGAACTGGACATGGCTGAGTCAGTTGAGAAGTCTGTCAGATTGCCTGCATGATCCCAGATAAGTCATTTAATCACTCTGTACTCGAGTTCCCCACTACAGTAGTTATTTGATCTACATGGTTTGTTTATGGCCAGATTGAAGCAGTCTAATGTTATCAAAGCTTATCTAATATAACACTGTGAGGGCAAATGCAGTTGTGGTCTTGAATTGACACTGTGTAATGTTAAAAAGAGGATAGAAAAAGTATTGCCCCTCATGGGCTGGCAGCGATAAATTATGCAGTCCTCTCCTTCCAGCCTCTCACATCTGCGATAGCTACAGTAGAACCTTAGTCCAAACACTTGCTCTTATTTAGCACTGGAGCTGTCAAGCCAGTCTCGGTTTTCATGCGAAATTTCATGAAAAATAAATTTGTTAGTTTTTCCAAGCTGAAAGACCTCTAACCATGCCTCCATCCTGCTAGCCATAGTACTTACATGCTTTGTGAAATTTGTGTTTCACATCAAGAAGGGTAGATGATGGAGGTACCTGGAAAAGAAAACAAAATGCATGCAGATTAATTTTTCTGTCTTCTTCACTCTGGGATCCCTTCTCCCCTCCTCTAATGAAGAGATGATTCAATTTGTCTGCAAGTTCCTTAAGCAATAATGAAGCAAATCAGCAAATTTCCTCTCACATATTGATATGTTATTAAGGATTGTCCGCATTTTATTTACACATTACCTGGGCCACCTCTGCTTGGCCAATGGAAGGGTAAAATCCCAAGGGTCAAGAGGGAAAGCTGCTGGCCCTGCCTGAGGCAATAACTGCCCCCAAGATCAAACCAGTGGGACAACTTGAAGGGTTAGCTTTAACGTTAGGTCCAAGCATGCTGGGGCCTGGCTCTTAGAGACATGAAAGGGTTTTCCTGAGGGGCCACTAGCAAAGGTGGCAGGTTCTGTCCTTTCTGCCTGAAATGAATTTTCTTCTGCATGCTGTTGTTCATGTGCACTGAAGCAATTCAGGTGTCACAGTGTCAGATGGCAGTCTGGAGGCCTTTTAGGCTCTATTTTATTATGTTTATTAATTTCTTAATACACTTTGTACAACGTATCTGAGAAACACAGAATTTACTAGAGCAAAAGACTTAGAAGTACAAGAAAAGGCAATGGAACACTTCAGGAAGTAGTATGTTGAGCTTGAGGTCGAGGTGGCAAGAGGCAAGGATCGGGTCTTAACAAGACTATCCCTTTGCAGTTGACACTGATTTAATATTCTATATTGTTCATTTAAGCACAGAGATGGAGAAGTAAATTGAACTGTGTCTTAACCATGGGGATCTGCTTTGGCTCTAGTGAGAGACCTCATCGCTGCCATCAGACAGCAGAATGCAGAAAACCACCTTCCTTGGAGACTTTAGGCACCTGCACAGCATAGGCTAATTCCACTATGAAGTGGTGGTGACATACAGAAAAATCTTGAGGAGCGGCGGAATTTCTTTGGGCTGAGGTAGAGAAACAGGCATGGCACCATTTTCCCTGGCTGGGCACTCATCACCTGGTTCACGCCACCTCCAGCTTCCCTGACTAACCAGAATGCAGCAGTTGCCTGGCATAGCCTCTTTGGCAGTTACACAGGAACACAACAGTTCTGCGCTGCAGAAGCTTGTCTGTCTCTACCCACCTAACAATTTCTATGGGGTTTGCTGGGCATTCTGATTCCTCTTTCATTGCATTAGTTAGAACTCATTGCTTAAGCATTAATCGAGTTACTGAGCCTTGCTCAGATCTTAGCACCATCTTTAGCCTGTAGCCCCACTTCTTCCAAATGTGATTAGTGATATTTATCTATTTTACTTATTAGTGATATTAGTGAATTGTGACAATAACCATGCATAAAAAATAGAAAAAATAAGAAATTCTGCTAGTAGAGATCAGTCAGCACCTTAACATAGGTTGTTTTGTTGAAAAGACTGAATCTGGAGAAATACTCATGTAAGAAAATAAAATTGCTGATTCAAAAGCAACAGATCAGTACAGAAAGAAAAGTTTGGCTCTTATATAATTTGACACCCCATGAAAATATGCAATATACATGCCATTAGTGCTTAGGAGTAAGCCAACTTGTTTCCAGTAATAAATAATATGAACAGGCAGAGAGCTCAATACAGATTTCAATGATCTAAAGCTGTAAAACGATACCTGTGCTAAATGGTGTGTAAAGTTCAGATTATTCCTAGTTTTTTCTTTGGGTTTAGACGAGAACGCCTTCTTTTCCACAGTTACAGAGGGTTTTACTGGCCACTGGAAAAGTCCTTATTTGCAGAAGCTGCTCTAAGTGAACCTCTACTCAAACCCTGACTTGTCTCTCTGATGCACCTGCTAAGCGATGCCAACTCCACCCAAATCAGGGGCTCGACTCCTTGAAACCAAGGACGTACCCTTTTCCCCTCCCTGACATCACCAAGGTCTGTGTTGCATCCAAACCACATTGAACAGTACTGGGCCGGGAGAAGGACATTGTCCTTGGAGTTCCTGAAGCCAGCTGGGTCCCTTTTCTTCCCTGCTACAGGAAACAATAGAAGAAGCTGTCTTATTTTTCTCAATTAAAAAGGAAAGAAAACATTTTTTCTGTATTAACTCCATGCAACATCCAGTAGAACAGCACATCTCCCATAGTCTACATGTGCCTTTTCTTGTAATGTGTATAGTCACTGTGGACTTGAATATGGGAGATGGGGGGGTATGTTTTCAAAACCTCTAAAAATATCTGAAATTGCTTTCTCACACCTTGTAATCTCACACCTGTGAGGTCTGGAGCCCAGAATCCGTCAGATATGGATGCAAGTGCTGTTAGCTGGCAACGACCACGCGGCACACAAGACTGCAGACCAAACTCTGTCATGTGTCCTAGTGCAGGGCAGGTGTGCAGGTTTCCAGAGCTGGCATTGCCAGCTCAAGGACGGGGATGGTCTTTTCCGTTGTGATGGAGGATCATCTGGCCATCTAAATACAGTATAAGCTGCGTTACTGCAGGGCCTGCATCCCTACAGGAGATCTGCATCTCAGCATGCCGGGTTCTGGGAAAGAGTAGCCAGGGCCAACCCGTGCTCTGGAGAGCTGATCATCTGATTAAGTCAAGGCAAGCTGAAAGACTGTTAAGCTGAGCACGCTCACAGAGCAGCACCAGCTCAAAACAGAGCCCACGGTCTCCATCTCCTGCACCCCTGAGTATGTGTTGACTTCAGGGCAGCGCTGCTTTCAATCATCAGTGCAAAATTTCTAGTCCAGCCCTTCTTAGCAACTCTACCTTTACATCCCTCTTCCATTTTTCAACCTGAGGCTTTCAGTGCTTTCTCCCCTCCAAATCCTGCTATGACAGCCATGGGATTCATATCACCTAACTTTAGTTATCAAAAAATTAGTCTAAGCTTGTGTTTTAGGTCTACCTATAGAACTATTCACGTGCCTTAGGTGTTTAAAAGTTACAAAGTGCCTGCTGGGATCTGCTTACAATGGCCTGCTGCAGCAGAGGAACCAGTGAGTGTATCCATGTGGTGTGATGTGAACCATCACACACAACCTCCCCTACATCCAAAGCTGGTGCTTGAACCACGTAGCTGGAGCTGCGGGGGACCGTGCTTTGTACGACACCTATGAGAGAGGCAGAGCTCATTAGCAAGAGCACTGCTGTGCCGGAGTACATCCAAGCTGCCTTAGGCTGGTTTAAATCCTGCCAGCTCAGGCCCAGGCAGAGCATGTACTTGGTTGGTTAGTCGCAGCCTGGCAGCTCTGCATGGCACCACACCGTACGTGGCACACACTGCATGTGCCCAGGCAAGGCCGGGAGCACACACCCAGCCAGGAGGGCAGGAAGGCATTTGTTTTATGGGCCAGCTGGCTTAAGGAAGGACCCTTCCACTTGAGAGAAACTACACAGATCGCAAGTTGAAAAATAACACAAATACCTTCCTCTTCAAAATGGGCTATGACATAGAGGAATCGCAGTGTCCTTTCCCAGGCAGAATAATGAGGCTATAGCCACAAAAGAATGAAATACATTTTTTTATGATCTTGATAATTCTGTGTCCTTTTTTTAAAAGACCTCATAAAACAACCGGTGAAGTTATAGATTCTAATATTGATCAATGTGAAGACGGATGCTGAGACATCAACTTACTACTAAGTGCGTCCTCTTCGTAGATCATTAATTATCTTTTGTTCTTTTCATTGTACATCAATACGAGCTAAAGAATTGTAAGGACCGGAACAGCATCTGCTCTTATTACCCTTTGTGCTAACTGAATAAACCACCCTGGAACATTTCACTGTAATTATTAGTCTTACTCTCCTTTTATTCTTTTAAATTCTTACTGAAAAGTGTTATAACCTTCCTTTTTCCTCTATTTCAGCACTTTTCAAATACACAAAGGGAAAGCAGAGTGAAAGACCACCCTTGGTTTATTTAAAACAAGGTGGATTTCATTGTAAAACCACCTTTTACTTGGCACATATCTTCTATGTCTGATGGTCAAGCCAGTTTTCCCTCCAACTTCTTAACTTGTAGTCTAACACCAGATTTTAAATATAGTTAACTTTCTAGTAAGTTGCTATCATGTGTAAGTTTCAAGACTACTTTTTCTTCACAAAAAAATGTTATGAAGAAATGCAGATTTTACAGGTGTGGGTTGCATTCATTACACTTTTCATTCAGAAAAGGATGATTTAAAAACCTCAAGTCCTGTTTTTCCTGTACCTTCATAGCAAAAATACTTTTACTTTTCCATTCAAGGCAACTTTTCAATTTTTAGGAATTCAAGAATGAAAGGACCTTCTGGGTCATCCATTCCAGTTCTATCCTTCCTTTATGCAGCAATGCACAAAGCATCACATTTCTTTTTAAGATGTAAAATACCATATTAGTAACTTAGGCTATGACTCAAGGAAGAGCACTAAGTGGAAGATATTATGGGAACTTAATATTGCCTTTTGTGAGTGGAAGCTAATCAGATAGTTACCCACTTTCATACCTCTTTCACATTTATAAGTCAAAGAATTATAACAAATCTGGTGATCTGTATGTAATTGCATCACACAGTTCTTGCACTAAAGAATTATTTTAGGGGTTAGAGGTTAGCAGAATATCAATAAGAATTTGAATAATAGAATTTTAGCAAATAAGTGATCTTTCATTCAACATTTCCCTTTGAATGTTCTTTCTCTTTGTGACATGTGAGTACCACGGCACTGCTGAGTCACCTACTTTCCAATAGGCGGTCATTTATCATAATTGCAGAAATTCAGAAATTCTGCCACTCCAGCTGCTCATTAATCACACACACATTTAAATCACAAATTTACCCATCTTCAGACAGGGTAAATTTGTTCAAAAGGGTGGCATCGGCTTATTGCAGCTGAGGATCTGACCCCAAAACAGATAACCAGCTAATGGGAAAGCCAGGTCATTTCCAAATTCAGCACTCAACAAATACTTCATCATTACTGCTTTTGCACCCTGTCCTTGCTTTGGGACCATGCTGTTTTATTAGA